TGCAGGTCTTCAATCCAGACGGCAAAGTCAATGGCCCTCCCCTCAGCGTCAAAATTAAGAACATTGGGGGTGGCCATGGCAGCAGCTGGAAGTCTCACCGGGCTGGGAGAGTCGGGTAGGTCAGCAGCAGAAGAACACAGCTCAGGAACAGCAGCACGGCGGCTCGGGCGGCTCGGGCGGCTCGGGCGGCTCGGGCGGTTCGGGCGGCTCGGGCGGCGGCTCGGTCGCAGCTCAGCGGCGGCTCGGGCGGCGGCGGCTCGGCGGCGGCTCGGCTGCTGCTGGGCGGCTGGGCGGCGGCTCGGGCGGCTCCGGCTCGGCGGCGCAGGCGGCGGCGGCTCGGCGGCGGCCCGGGCGGCGGCTCAGGCGGCGGCGGCTCGGCGGCGGCTCGGCTGCTGCTGGGCGGCTCGGCGGGGCCGCGGAGCAGAGGGCGGCGGTGCCGCGTAGGAGAGGGCGGCGGGGCCGCGTAGCAGAGGGCGGCGGGGCCGCGTAGCAGAGGGCGGCGGAGCCGCGTAGCAGAGGGCGGCGGGGCCGCGATCGAGGGGCGGCAGGGCCGCGTAGCAGAAGGCGGCGGGGCCGCGTAGCTGAGGGCGGCAGGGCCGCGACGTAGGGCGGCGGGCGGGCCTTCGAAGTAGGGCGGCGAGCGGGCCGGGACGTAGGGCGGCGGGGCCGCGACGTAGGGCGGCGGGCGGGCCGTCGAAGTAGGGCGGCGGGCGGGCCGGGACGTAGGGCGGCGGGGCCGCGACGTAGGGCGGCGGGCGGGCCGTCGAAGTAGGGCGGCGGGCCACGACGTAGGGCGGCGGGGCCGTCGAAGTAGGGCGGCGGGCAGGCCGCGACTTAGGGCGGCGAGGCCGCGCGATAGGGCGGCGGGGCCGCAAGGTAGGGCGGCTCGACGGGTCGCTAAAAAAAAAAGGACGCGCGCCTCGGGGCGCGCTTCGGTGGGCCCAAGAAACAGTCCCTAGTAGGGGACCTGCTCTGATTCCATGTGAAAGAGAGAACGAGAATGAAATGACTATGAAAGAAGTGAGTACAAATAGGAAACCCTAATTGGGTTGTACCCCCTATGGGATGCCCCACTATAGCCTACACAATAGTATAAGCTATATAGTTCTGACAGAATAGTATCGGTGCGGCGAACGGTGACGAGCTCGGTCTGATGAATTTTTTTTCTAACAGGTAATCTAACTGCTTCCTTAGTTCGTCGAGCTCGGGCTGTGTCAGTCTGAACTGGCGTTGTACGGTTGGCTGTGCCCCCGGTTCAAATTCGATTCGGTGGTCATGTGCTCGCTGAGGTGGCAGTCCTTCCGGTAAGTCGTCGGGGAAAATCCCGGGGTATCGTTTCAACAGTTCCTGTAATTTGGGCGGTACGGGTGCCAGTAGTTTCTTGAAATCACTCGGCTGCTCTGCTTCCTCTACTACTGCGATGTCTACTGCGTACACGTCAGCTCCAGCAGCGACGACCCGTTTCATTGTGATGGCGTTGACGTGTACCATTGAAGACTTGGGCGACTGCCAGCGAGGTAGCTCGACCCAGTTACCTCTACTTCGCACGGTGCAGCTACCCGTCGTCCAGTCAATTCGCGGGTTCTACTGTCGCAGCCAATCACGTCCCAGTAAAATATCGTGCCCATCCAGTGTCGTTGCGAGCATTTCCTGTGTAAACTCGAAATTTCCCCCGCAGCGGACTTTGACTCTCTCTACCTTTTCCCGTATGGCCTGTGGCGTGCCGTCGACTAAGCGTGCGTCTATCTCCGATAAGCAACGGCTAAGTGTCAACTGCAGTTTTCGTGCGGTTGCGGTATCAACTAAGCTGTGGCTTGCTCCTCTGTCGATAAAAATCTTAACTGCTGCTCCCTATATTTTCCCGTGGATCAGTACTGGGCAATCCGTCGTTGTACCCTCCTTATTCGTCCGAGTCTGATCGATAGCATGAATCGGTACTGTGACTCGGTGAGGGTCGGTGGGGTTGGGCGAGCAGGCAGTCTCGTCAGTAGTTGGCCCGATTCCTACTGACCGCTGGCGTTTCCTTGCTTTGGAGACTCCCTCCCCTGCTCTGCTCCGCGGCACCTTAGCTCCTCTGGGCATTCGCTCTTGCGATGGCCCGGCCTGTTGCAAGCAAAGCAGCGCCCCTTAAACGGCGCGGCAGCTGCATTCGTTGCAACAGCGTGTACAGTGGCGTGCTCGATCGGTCCCCGAGGACGATGTCCATAGTAGGACCCTGGTCTCGGACGGCGTAAAATGTTGATTTTCTCGGCGAGCGCGAGAATCTCGTTGAAGTTCGAGAGCTCGCGTAGCATGATTTCGTGCGAGATGTCCGGCTTCAGCCCTCCGACGTAACGGTCCACCCGCTCCGCTTCGTGCATGTAGCCGACTTGCTCGCATAATGCGAGAAAACCATTCGTATAATATTGAACCGATCCAAGCTGCCACCAAGTGCGCAATCTCTGACGCGCAGAAATAGAAGCCGCGATCGGCACGAAGCGCGCCCGAAGCCCTGCGCACCACGCATCCCACGTGCTGTATTGGGCGGTCTCGCAGAATGAACTCCAGGTGACAGCTGAGCCCGTGGGCCCTTCCTCTTGCGACGGTGGCTCGTAGGCGCGTGGCTACGTCACGATGACTCGCCACCAGTCCTGTCAGAAGTCCACTGGTGATCCCCGATTGATCCTAGGGAAGGGTTACAGGCACGTTGGCCTGGGGGGTTATGGGCGCACTGACCCGCTACTTAACAAGCCCTTTTATCCCAATGGTCTAGTGGTTGGGATTCTGATATGGTATCAGAGCGAAGGTCTCGGGTCCGAATCCCGGTGTATGCACTTCGGGCATCCCAGTGCGGGGGGGTGTCAGAAGTCCACTGGTGATCCCCGATTGATCCTAGGGAAGGGTTACAGGCACGTTGGCCTGGGGGGTTATGGGCGCACTGACCCGCTACTTAACAAGCCCTTTTATCCCAATGGTCTAGTGGTTGGGATTCTGATAAGTCCATGGTGGGGCCCCTTAGCAGCGAAACGGCACACCGAATCTTCGCTGCGTCTGACTCGACGTAATTCACGTCGAAGAAGACGTTCATCGTGAAGACCCACGATTGAACCGTCGGACCTCCACGATGGCTCGGGTCGAAGCAGGGCGGGCGTTGCGGCTTGAGTGGCATTGGTGCCATAATGGCCTGTTCGCCACTTGTCGCCGCGAACTCCACGTGCCGACGGGCTTCGCGAGGCTCCCGCGGGCTTGGTGCGACCCTGTTTCCTCCCATGCCAGGCATCGGCTGGGCGGCGCCATCGCTGGCTGCGCCTGAGCGCTGTCCCACGCTGTTGTTTTGTGTTGGTGTGCCGGACGAGATGACGATCGGCTCGTCTGATTGTGCAAATGCATTTGTCGGTGCGTGTGGTGGCGCTGGAGTGTTCATCATTGATTGCTGACGCGCGTAGTCACGTTCCGCCGTGAGCGTCGCAATTTCGAGCGCCAAATCTTCAAGTTGGCGCACCAAACGGTCGAGCTGCTCCTGCGTCAATGTGGCGAGCGTGAATTCGGCCATGGCGGGGGTGTCGGGCGAGCTCAGCGAGAGCCTCGGTCGTGGCCGTGCGTGCTTACGAGAGAGCACTACGAGCGGCGGTGTTGTGTCACTTAGAGACGTCTACCCCCCCCAAAAATTGAGATAGTGGGGAAGTGAAGGTGTGGGTGCGGTCCGAGAGGAGATCGTAGGCTCTGAATACCAAGTGTTACGAGTGCAATTGAGTGAACGAACGAGAATTGCACTATCGAAGCAAGAGTACAATGAGCGCAGGCATGAGCGAAGAATATATAGCGAAACTACAGTGGTAACGGTAATGGACTGTGGTTGTCGCGCGACGGGCCTGAGACGGAGGTTGGGAAAAAGTGTCGAAGCGGAGGCCCGGAGCGCGGGCTACCCGCCGAGCCGTGAGGTCGGGGTGCGATGTGCGAAGGTGGCGGGCGGATTGTCGATGCGAGGGTTGCGAGTGGTAACGGTGCTGACTGTGGTGCTACAGTGATGTACGCGTTGAGCAGGGATGCGAAGTAAGGAAAAGGAATTTTCCTTACACAGACCACGGACGGATTCAAATTTGTGTCCTTTGGTGCGACGCTGCTTTCGTCCTCATTTAAAGGTTTCAAACACCCGCCGACCACCCATCACCCCTTTCTCAATACACATCGTAATGGAGTGGATAGGAGCCCTCTCATAACTTTAATAGTAATATATTAGATATTCCATCAGCAAATCGTCTTTCACCACCACCATCCGAACATGAAACATAAATTGTCTGTATTAATAACTCATTTTGAGCCATATTGTGCCAATGTGTATAATGGATGGCATGCCCCAAATATACATATTAGTGATGCATAATTGTTGGCAGGCCTCCATATTGGTTACGATGCGCGCCAAATAATCAGAGAATCCGGGCAATTCAAAAAATTTATCAGCCAAAAACACAATATTACACAAAAAAAATAACAGTTTCCTCGTGTAACTGCATGCATTACGACACCCGCTCGCTGCAGTGTGCACTGCAGTCTGCATTCCTTACGGTAGTCATGGTCAGATTGGAAATACTAGAACACAAGAAATTTCAGCTGTATTTTGAAAGGCGGATAGGTCGAGTCGAGTGGCAACACACTGCCCAGATTACACTTCCAATCCGATATCAACTCCGGCCGTCCTCCTTGTCGTTGAACACCTTGTGGACGCCAGCCTGCAAGCAAGCACAAGAGCAGCGACAGGAAGAAAAAAATGTAGAGTTTCAGACTCTCAACCACATCCACAGATGCTTCACATGGAGGGCGACAATTGTGGCAGTTCAGAAAACATTTTATAGGCAGGGCCACCAGACTATCATGGAACATGGCATCATGCTCGCTGTGCATCATCAGACGTGTACGGTTGGTCACACTCACAGCAGTGGAAGCTTTAAGCAGTTCACGGATGGCCATGGTGGCATATCCCGAGGCAGGAAAAAGTCCCTTTAGAGAATTCTCAGGGTGCATTATGGCACATGGTTGGTGGCACTCACAGCAGTGGAGGATTTAAGCAGTTCACGGATGGCCATGGTGGCATATCCCGAGGCAGGCAGAGTAAACTCCACCTGCAGCGCCACCCTCACTCCCTCCTCTGCTGCTCCCTCCACCCCTCGCTCTCCCCTCCTCCCCGCCGCTTGCCCCTTCCCCTCCCCGTTACCCGCTCCAGCGCCCTGTTCGCCCTGCAATACCTTCTCCTTCTCATCACCACCCTCATCTTTCCCGTTCTCCATCTCACTCTCAACTACCCCTTCCGCTTTTTCTCCATCCTCTGTCGCCGCACCTGCCTCAGCTTCGCCCCTCTCAGGCCCACCCTCCTCCCCATCACCCCCCTCCACCAGGGCCCCAATGGGTCCCTCCCCAATCCCCAGGCGCTCCAGCTCGTCTCTGCCCAGCCTCACTCCCTCTGACGAAGCCAACACCACCACTGCCGGCACTGGCCCTGCTGCTTCCCCTCCTGCCCCTGCTTCTCCTGTTGCTGCCTCTACCCCACTGAGCGGAGCACCGCCAGCAGTAACCCCTGCCTTCTCTTCCCCCCTCTGTGCCTGTTTGAGTGCCCCCTTGTATCCTGGTTGCTTGAACCCATAGTACACATGCGCTGCCTCCACCACTGCAGGGGCGTCACTGCCAGACATAGCAGCAGCATCACCACTGGCAGTAGCAGCAGGGGCATCAGTGGAAACAGCACCAGCTCCTGCCGCTGCTGCTGCTGCTGTTGAGTTCGAGTCTGCTGCTGGACCCACAGATGGGGCAGCAGGTGGGGCGGCAGAGGCAGCAGCAGTGGCAGAGGTAGTGGGAGTGGGGGCAGGAGTTGCGAGGGCAGCAGCAGCGATGCGGTCCAAATCAGTCTCTGCCAGCACTTGTGTGGGGCGCCAGTACGCCAGGACTCTCCTGTGACGGGTATTGGGAAATGAAATGGGGAAGCGAATAAGGGTGAGGTTATTTGCGAGGACAGGGGAGACAGAGTGGGGGACGCAGGGAGGGAAAGAGTTACGGAAGTGGGAGCAGGAGGGAATGTGGGGGAGGAGGTGTGGTGAGGGAAATGGCTGAGGCACGTGGTTGAGAGTAAGGTTATGCAGAAATGAATGAGCAATGGAAGTCAAAAACTGTGTTCTTGGGACACAGGGGGCCTCTCAGGGAGAAGCGCGAGGGTGAGAGGGAGAGAGGGAGAGGTGGCTCACCAGTTGTAGTCGGAGGGGCGCTGTAACAAGCAAGAGGGTGAGTGAGAGGGTGGGTGCGAGGGAGAGGTGGCTCACCAGTTGTAGTCGGAGGGGCGCTGTAACAAGCAAGAGGGTGAGTGAGAGGGTGGGTGCGAGGGAGAGGTGGCTCACCAGTTGTAGTCGGAGGGGCGCTGTAACAAGCAAGAGGGTGAGTGAGAGGGTGGGTGCGAGGGAGAGGTGGCTCACCAGTTGTAGTCGGAGGGGCGCTGTAACAAGCAAGAGGGTGAGTGAGAGGGTGGGTGCGAGGGAGAGGTGGCTCACCAGTTGTAGTCGGAGGGGCGCTGTAACAAGCAAGAGGGTGAGTGAGAGGGTGGGTGCGAGGGAGAGGTGGCTCACCAGTTGTAGTCGGAGGGGCGCTGTAACAAGCAAGAGGGTGAGTGAGAGGGTGGGTGCGAGGGAGAGGTGGCTCACCAGTTGTAGTCGGAGGGGCGCTGTAACAAGCAAGAGGGTGAGTGAGAGGGTGGGTGCGAGGGAGAGGTGGCTCACCAGTTGTAGTCGGAGGGGCGCTGTAACAAGCAAGAGGGTGAGTGAGAGGGTGGGTGCGAGGGAGAGGTGGCTCACCAGTTGTAGTCGGAGGGGCGCTGTAACAAGCAAGAGGGTGAGTGAGAGGGTGGGTGCGAGGGAGAGGTGGCTCACCAGTTGTAGTCGGAGGGGCGCTGTAACAAGCAAGAGGGTGAGTGAGAGGGTGGGTGCGAGGGAGAGGTGGCTCACCAGTTGTAGTCGGAGGGGCGCTGTAACAAGCAAGAGGGTGAGTGAGAGGGTGGGTGCGAGGGAGAGGTGGCTCACCAGTTGTAGTCGGAGGGGCGCTGTAACAAGCAAGAGGGTGAGTGAGAGGGTGGGTGCGAGGGAGAGGTGGCTCACCAGTTGTAGTCGGAGGGGCGCTGTAACAAGCAAGAGGGTGAGTGAGAGGGTGGGTGCGAGGGAGAGGTGGCTCACCAGTTGTAGTCGGAGGGGCGCTGTAACAAGCAAGAGGGTGAGTGAGAGGGTGGGTGCGAGGGAGAGGTGGCTCACCAGTTGTAGTCGGAGGGGCGCTGTAACAAGCAAGAGGGTGAGTGAGAGGGTGGGTGCGAGGGAGAGGTGGCTCACCAGTTGTAGTCGGAGGGGCGCTGTAACAAGCAAGAGGGTGAGTGAGAGGGTGGGTGCGAGGGAGAGGTGGCTCACCAGTTGTAGTCGGAGGGGCGCTGTAACAAGCAAGAGGGTGAGTGAGAGGGTGGGTGCGAGGGAGAGGTGGCTCACCAGTTGTAGTCGGAGGGGCGCTGTAACAAGCAAGAGGGTGAGTGAGAGGGTGGGTGCGAGGGAGAGGTGGCTCACCAGTTGTAGTCGGAGGGGCGCTGTAACAAGCAAGAGGGTGAGTGAGAGGGTGGGTGCGAGGGAGAGGTGGCTCACCAGTTGTAGTCGGAGGGGCGCTGTAACAAGCGCCTGTAGCCACCTGGGATGCGCTCGATGGAATATTCCCTGTCATGCACCATGGGTGGTGGGAGGGATGAGAGAGGGTTAGAGGGTGGTTGAGAGGGTGAGTGAGAGAAAGAATTGCCTTTGCTTCAAGCGACTGTAGCCCCCTGGGATGCCCTCGTCTCCCTGACATGGCGCCATGGGTGGCAAGAGGGATGAGAGAAGGGCGGGAGAGTGAGGGAGGGCTAGAGAGTGAGGTGAGAGGGTGAGTGAGGTGAGAGGGTGAGTGAGGTGAGAGGGTGAGTGAGAGGAAAGAATTGGCTTTGCCTCAATCGCCTGCGGTGCGGGCGGTGCAGCGTATGAGCGGGCGCGGCAGCATATGAGCGGGCGGTGCAGCGTATGAGCGTCAAAACTCATGCATATGCGACGCATTCACACATGCATGTGTGACCAACTACTCCCTTGACCCTGTGCTTGCTGGTGAAGAGATCAATGCCGTCCTGTGGTGGCGGAGGGAGCGACGTCAGACACACGTACCCTGTCTTGTGACACACGCAAGGCTGTACACTAGCTTGCATACATGCCTACATGAGACTTTCAACTCACTTGACGCTGTGCTTGCTGGTGAAGAGGTCTATGCCGTCCTGTGGTGGCGGAGGGGCGCAGGGAGAGGGGAAGCAGGGAGATGGGTGGGAAGATGGGAGGTGGGAAGAAGCATGGCATGAGCATTCAAGAAATAGACAAGATGAACCATTCACACAATGAGAACAGAATACAAGGTAGTCAGGTGCCCTGCGTTTTCCACAGCTGGGAAGACGGGCAGGGAGGAACACACCTTGGCTGCGAAAGACTGGAAGAGGTCAGCGGTAGATTTGTCACGGTACAGAGTGGTCTACAGAGCCATGGCGACCATAGGGACAAGCTAGAAGGCGAGGTGGACGCGAAGGTGGAAGGCGAGATGGATGGAGAGGAAGGGTAAAAGGAGAGAGTGACAGGAGGGGGCATACCTTGGCAGCGAGAGAGTGACAGGAGGGGGCATACCTTGGCAGCGAGAGAGTGACAGGAGGGGGCATACCTTGGCAGCGAGAGAGTGACAGGAGGGGGCATACCTTGGCAGCGAGAGAGTGACAGGAGGGGGCATACCTTGGCAGCGAGAGAGTGACAGGAGGGGGCATACCTTGGCAGCGAGAGAGTGGAAGACTTGTGCAGTGGAGTTGGTGGGGTATTCAATGGCACAGCTGAGGGTGGGGCGGGAGAGGGAGGAGAGGGAGGATGGGTGAGGCGCATGTGTGTTCATCTTCAACACCTCATGCATAGGTGTATCAACAGCGCATGGGTGAGAGAGACAGAAGCACAGCACACACACCTGCAATGCTGCATAGGTTATGGGGATTACAACCCATGCCCATACGTTTGTGCTTTTTGCCAGGCGAACCCAGCCCCGCAGAATCAGAAGCCAGAACTCGCACTCACCCCGGCAGGGGCAGCACGACTTGGTTGATGGTATAGACTCCTCGCTCTGCCTCCTCCTCGCTCACCACCCTCACCTCCTCCCCCTCCGCCCTCGCCTCCACCGCCACTGCTGCCGCCTCCTCTGCCTCCGCCTCTGCTTCTGTGCCCCTCATGCCCGCAACCTCTGTCCCCACGCCCGCTGCACTCCCTGCTGCTGCTGCAGCTGCAGTAGCGGCGGCAGCAGCAGCAGCAGCGGCAGAAGGAGGGGAGCAGAGCACAAGGTCACCTGCTACCACTCGTGTGGAGCCTGCAGGGAAAGCAAGGTGGGTGGTGGGGGGAGGACAGGACGTGCAACACGTGGTGCCATGAGACGGTGGTGAGATGGGTTGAGTCTAGCATGACAGAGGTAGGGTGTGACATGAAGTGCAGAGCCGGTGACAAAAGAAACTCACCAAACAGGTGAAGCGGTATGTCTCACCATATGTCTTGATGCGGTGTGAGGCAGCATGGTTCCACAGATAGCTCTGATAGCTGTGCACGTACCTGCCATGGGGATGTTTGAATTGAAGGGGGAGGGGTGTGAAGGATGGGGGTTTCATGGTGAAGGGGAAAGGGGGGGAGTAAAAGAGGTTCCACAGATAGCTCTGATAGCTGGGCACGTACCTGGTCATGCACGTACCTGGTCATGTTAAAGAGGGAAGGGAGGGGAAGAGGAGAAGGGTTCATGGTGAAGTGGGGGTGGGGTGGAGGAAGCAGGATTACTCGTGAAGAGAGAAAATCGAGGGGGAGTAAAAGAGGTTCCACAGGTACCTCTGATAGCTGGGCAATGGTCATGAGGAAGAGGGAAGGGGGAAAGAGCAAGAACGGGATGGTAGTTGTCTCGAACCTGACAGCTGTGCGCGGATGAGAGAGAGAGGGGACACACACCGGGGCACACTCACACGTCATCATGCCACACGCAGCTGAATCACACGAGGCACATCCCCTGGTGCACTCACACACACACACTCTCACAAGGGGCGCACTCACACCTCACAGGTGACTCACATGAGGCGCATCGTGCGTGGGATGAAGCCCAGTGCTTGCACCAGATTGCGCGGGTTGCGCTTCAGCCCCGACAGCTGCCACGCAGAGAAGGGAAGCGAGGATGATGAAGGGGAGGTTGCGAGTGGGGAGATGGTAGGAGGAAGAGATTCAGAGGAGCTGAGAGGCATGCTGAAAGGTGTATGAGAGGCATGCTGAAAGGTGTATGAGAGAGCTGAACCCTAAACCCTGAATCATAAAGTGTATGGGGGAGAAGAGACAGAGACAAGTGGTTTGGAGTGAGAGCGAGAGAGCAGGAACGAACTTAGAGCAGGATGATGCGAGTGCGACTCACCACTCCTCGTTCGGCCACCATTCTCGTCGGCATGTGGATCATTGCAAGGTCGGCGTCTTTTGTCTTCGTCCACAGACGCCTGGCCTCTGCCGCCCCTTCCGATTGTGGTGAGATGAACGGTCGAGATCAGCGTTTAGTAGCACACACACGAAGCAGACTCAATATGATGTAAGGAGTTCTTGGCGAGAGTTTTGACTCTTAAGAGGCACATTCATGAAAAAAAAGGGGACTGGGAAAGGCATGGCGTTCTATGAAAGGAACAACGCACAGCATTGCACCACACAACACGGCAGAGCACAGCACATCATAGCAGCGCAGAGCAGAGCAGAGCATGACATGAGAGGATATGTCCATCCCCGGGTTTGAGCAGAAAATCCACAGCGGAGCAAGGCAATCCAAGGCAAGGCAAGGCAGGGCAAAGAATCAAGGTAAAGCATGGGCGAGCAAGGCAAGGCAAGGCGAGGTGAGGGGGTGAGGGTGAGGGAGCACGGGCGCTGAGAGGATATCTCCATCTCGCGGCTTGAGCAGCAGGTCCACAGCGCCCTGCCAGTCGCCCCTCAGCAGCGCTGCTCCCACCGTGTGCGTTGCCACGGGACCCACTCCGAAGCGCTGCTCCCAGGGGGCGGTGGCAGGAGAGGGGGGGCAAGGGTGAGCGCGGTGAGGCACGGAAGTCAGGATGAGGGAGGATGAGAAGTTTGGAGTGAAGTGAGCTGGACTCTGCTCGTACCGTGTGTCGCCACCCGCCCCACGCCAAACCACTGTTCACAGGGGGACAAGGGGGGGAAGTAGGGGAAGGGCGAGAGTGGTTTTTGAGAGAGGCTTGAAATGCAAAGCGCTGCTTATACAGGCCCAGGGAGGATGCAACGTGAGCATGGGAGGATGCAACGTGAGCATGGGAGGATGCAACGTGAGCATGGGAGGATGCAACGTGAGCATGGGAGGATGCAACGTGAGCATGGGAGGATGCAACGTGAGCATGGGAGGATGCAACGTGAGCATGGGAGGTTTGAGTCGTGTCACTGGTGCTGCCTTTCGAAGACCAACAGCACCCAGCAGCAACAAGCAGCACGCAGCAGCGCCCACCTGCAGGCCAAAGTAGTTGATGATGCCGTGAGAGCCAAGGCCCTCCGCCGCTGCTGTGATGGCGTCTACACTGGGCGCTCTCACGGCCCTGGGGAACGGGTGGGGGCGGGGAGGAAAGAAGGAATGGATGGTTGCAGGGGGGGGTGGACGGAAAGGGAAGGGCAAGCGGAAGAGGAGCACACTCCGCCCCGCCCCGCCCACCAGAGGGTAATAAGGAACGCGCCAGCTGCCCCAGCATGAGGGGTTGGTCCACAAGGCGGTAGTCATGGTTGGGGACGGGTGAGGGTTCTCATACACCGTCCATGCACATCAGACCCACCTCAGTGTGACGAGAAAGTGGTTGCCCGCTAGCTGCCCCAGCACGAGGGGCTGGTTCACAAGGCAGTAGTCTTGATGAGGAGGGGTGAGAGGGTTGCCCACCTGAGAGTGACGACGAAGCGGTTTCCGGCCAGCTGCCCGAGCACGAGGGGCTGGTCCACAAGGCGGTAGTCATGGAGAGGGTGGGAAGGATGTTGAGAAGGCTAATCATGGGGAGGCAGGGGGAAGGGGCGCACCTGAGAGTGACAATGAAGCGGTTGCCTGCTAGCTGTCCCAACACAAGAGGCTGGTCCACGAGGCGGTAGTCGCCCACTCGGATGCCAAACAGCTTGGCGTTGAGTGATGCAACCTTGCGTGCTGACTGGTTGCTCACTGTCACCTGGTGAAGTGTGGGTGGTGCGGTAGGGGTTGGTGTATGGGAGTTGGGTGGTGTGATGCAAGGTGGTGGTGGGTGGGTGGTGTGGCACATGGGAGGATGCCAAACAGCTTGGCGTTGAGTGATGCCACCTTGCGCGCCGACTGGTTGCTCACTGTCACCTGGAGGTTAGGGGAGGAGTGCGGGTTATTATGACAAGGGTATGAAGCTTTGACCCGTCACATTGGATATGTCACTTTACTGCAAGCACCCGTCTCAAGAACCCGCCCGCTGCACTCCCCCCCGCACCCACCCACCCGCTGCACGGTGAGGTGACAGCCCTCTTGTCCTTGGTGCCCGAGAAGCCATGAGCCCTGCTCTGCACGCCCAGGTAGCGCATATGGCCCTCACTGTGAGTACTGCCATGCACTCCCTACAACCGCTCTGCACCCACCCGCTGCACGGTGCCGGCGCGCTTGTCCTTGGTGCCTGAGAAGCCCAGCGCCCTGGATTGCACGCCCAGGTAGCGCCTATGACCATGGCTGTGACAACTCCCTCAACTCCCCACAACCGCTCTGCACCCACTCACCCACCCGCTGCACGGTAACTGCGCGCTTGTCCTTGGTGCCTGAGAAGCCCAGCGCCCGCGGCTGTACGCCCAGGTAGCGCCCCACGAGCGCCATGGCCTCGTTGGTGTCCTTGTTCTCCTTCAACACGTGGAACCTGGTGGGGTTGGGGAAAAGGGGATGGGGGAGGTCAAGGGAAGGGACTGGTGCACTCGTGCGTGTGCATGTGTGTGTAGTGTATCCATGCAGCAGGCCATGCCAATCCAGCCCCACACATACTGCTGTTCTCCCCTATGCCAGGCACGCACATGAGGAAGCGGCGCGCAGTGGTAGCAGGCACCCCATCAGCGCCCTTCCTCCCCCGCCTGTCAAACGCCGGCTGCTCCTCCTCCCCCTGCTCCCCCCCCTGCCCCTCCCCCTCTCCGCCATCCCCCCCTTCCCCCCTATCCTCCCCATCGCCATCACCACCATCCCTCTTCCCTCTCTTCCTATCCCCACCCTCCCACTCCTCCCTCCCCCGCTTCCCCCATTTCCCGCCCCTCCCCCCTCTCTTTCCCCCCCAGCGCCCCTCCCGCCACCCCCTCCCGTCCCCTCCCCTCTGCCCCCCATCCCCCCGACCTCCCCGCTCCCCTGCGCGGCCCCCTGCGCCCTTGAGGTTGAGGGCGGGCGGGGGGAGGAAGCGCAGGCGCACACAGCGGTACGGGGGGCCTTGAGGGGCGTCGATAGTGTCGGATACAAGGAAAGGGTATGACTTGATAAACGCGTGCATGGTCTGGTGGTGGGGGAAGGTCCAGAGGGAAGAGGTGTTGGAAAAGGAAGATTGTCAGAGGGACAGAGAGTGGGGGTAAGGTGAGGGAAGGCGGAGAAACGGGGAAGGGGTGCGTGGCAGTCAGGGCCGTGCATACAACTGTAGCTATGGCGTGTCATGGCGTGTCATGGCGTGTCATGGCCGTGCATACAACTGTAGCTATGGCGTGTCATGGCGTGTCATGGCCGTGCATACAACTGTAGCTATGGCGTGTCATGGCGTGTCATGGCCGTGCATACAACTGTAGCTATGGCGTGTCATGGCGTGTCATGGCCGTGCATACAACTGTAGCTATGGCGTGTCATGGCGTGTCATGGCCGTGCATACAACTGTAGCTATGGCGTGTCATGGCGTGTCATGGCCGTGCATACAACTGTAGCTATGGCGTGTCATGGCGTGTCATGGCCGTGCATACAACTGTAGCTATGGCGTGTCATGGCGTGTCATGGCTTGAAACGCCCCGATCCCTTCCAGTCACGTCAGCCACTCACAGCACGGTACGCCTTGTCAGCACTGGCAGCGAACACCACCGGCTCAGGCATAGGCGGAGGAGCCCCTCCCCCCGCCTCCCCCACCTCCCCCATCTTCCCCACCTCCCCCCCTTGCACGCTTCCCTCCGCCCTTTCTCCCCCAGCACCCTCCTCTCCCCCCTCCTTCTCTCCCTCCTCGCCTGCCCTCTTCTTCTCTTTCCACCAAAGCTGAATGCCTTTAATCCCTTCCAGCAGCTGAAGCAGCTTCCTCGCATCGTCCTCATCGCGCAACCCCCCTCCCCCTCCCCCTTCCCCTTCCCCGCTCCCCCCCAGCGCCTGGCGCAGCTGCGCCAGCACCCCCTGCGCGTCCACCAGCTCCCCCAGGCTCTCCGCCTCGCGCCTGCGCGCCTGCTGCTGCGCCTGCTGCTCCTGCACTAGAAGTGCGGGGGGCACGTGCAGGTGCGTCAGATGCACCACTGTGCCGTCCGGTGCGACCTCGTTCACTATGAAGTCCGCGAATCTGTTGGGGGAAATGGGGAGGGAGGGAGCAGATGGGAGTGGCTGTGGTGTTGCAATGCGCCAACAGCGCGGGCGGCACGTGCATGGGTGAGACGCACCACCATGCGTCTGGCGCGACTTCATTCACTATAAAGTCTGCGACCTGGGTGGGCATGGCAGGCACGTGGTCACTCGTGGTCACTCGTGGTCACACTTGGTCACACTTGGTCACTCGTGGTCACACTTGGTCACACTTGGTCACACTTGGTCACACTTGGTCACACGTGGTCACACTTGGTCACACTTGGTCACACGTGGTCACACTTGGTCACACGTGGTCACACTTGGTCACACGTGGTCACACTTGGTCACACGTGGTCACACTTGGTCACACTTGGTCACACTTGGTCACACGTGGTCACACTTGGTCACACTTGGTCACACGTGGTCACACTTGGTCACACGTGGTCACACTTGGTCACACGTGGTCACACTTGGTCACACGTGGTCACACTTGGTCACACGGGCTGTGTAACAAAATCCATCGGGGTGACCGTGTGTGTTTGACCGTGTTACATATGGTCACACGGACCATGGGTAACCGAATTCATCGGGATTTGCGAGGCTTCAAGAGGGGATCAAGAGGGCTGCAGCTGCTGCGGAAGCGCCCGGCCCAGCATGCCTCCGCCTCACCTCTGTTTGAGCACGCCATGAATGCCGGGAAGATCGTTGGCATAGCAGCATATGCCCACTGCCTCCTCTGTCTCCGCCATCACCTCGCCCTCCTCTCCGCCCACCCCCACCACACCCTCGCCTCACCTCTGTTTGAGCACGCCGTGAATGCCGGGCAGGTCGTTGGCATAGCAGCATATGCCGACTGACTCCTCTGTCGCCGCCATCACTTCGCCCTCCTCCCCGCCCTGCCCACCCCCACCACACCCCCGCCTTACCTCGCCCTCCTCCCCGCCCTGCCCACCCCCACCACACCCCCGCCTCACCTCTGTTTGAGCACGCCGTGAATGCCGGGCAGGTCGTTGGCATAGCAGCATATGCCCACTGACTCTTCTGTTGCTGTGCCATCACCTCTCCCTCCTCCCCGCCGTCCCAGCACACCCCCGCCTCACCTTTGCTTGAGCACGCCGTGAATGCCGGGCAGGTCGTTGGCATAGCAGCATATGCCCACTGACTCTTCTGTTGCTGTGCCATCACCTCTCCCTCCTCCCCGCCGTCCCAGCACACCCCCGCCTCACCTTTGCTTGAGCACGCCGTGAATGCCGGGCAGGTCGTTGGCGTAGCAGCATATGCCCACTGACTCCTCTGTCGCCGCCATTCGCACCCAATCCTCTCCGTCCTCCCCTTCTCCACCCTCCTCTCCGCCCTCCTCCTCTCCGCCCTCCTCTCCGCACTCCTCCTCTCCGCACTCCTCCTCTCCGCCTTCCTCTTCTCCACTTACCCTCTCCGCACTCTCTTTCCCGTTTCCTCTTTCTTCTTCGTCCTTTCCAGTCCCCTCTCCCCGGAACCCTGTACCCTCTCCCTCCTCTCCCGCAGCTTCCCTACGCCTCTCCTGAATTTCCTCCGCTGGTAACGCGAGTGCTCCAGGCGCGCTTTCCGCTTCCGCTGCGCCTCCTGCTTCCGCGGTTGCGGAGAGGCGGATCCGCCACGAGCGGAATGCGCCAAAAGGGGCGGGTGGGGAATTGCGGATTGCGCTCACGCGACAGGCGGCGGAGGCGAGAGGGATACGGGGAAAGGGCTGCCACGCTCGGAAAGTTATACGGGCGGAGAGGGAAAGGCGGAAAGTGGGATTGAGCGGGGGATTGCGGAGGCGAACGCGGAAGGGAGGGGAAATGCGCGGGGCGAATGGGCCTGCCGAAGAGCGCGCGACGGGGATGGTGGCGATTAGTGACATAAACACTCGCGGGATGCGAGATTTCAAGCGGTCAATGGCGACAGACGGCGACGATTGCGACACACAGTAAGCAGATTCCTGCGATCGCTCTGCTCAGGGAGCACGCACTAGAGTTCAACCAGAGCAGAGCACTTGCGAAATTTGGGCTGGCTGGGGTGGAAAGAGGGGCCTTTTGCGCACGCGAGAACCAATGTGCTAGGGTTACTAGATTCGCTCAGTGTCGTAAAGTTACGGCCAGCAAGTAAGCTTGTGAGGAGAATTTCCAGCAGTACAGTCGTTCAGAGCATTCTTCAACAATATTTATCAATTATTCTAAGATTCAATAGCTTCGCATTTTGTTGTGCAAGTCCAATGAATGCGTCTTTCTAATGTGATCACCACACGTAATCCTCGTTAGTAAAGCTGGGGTCTTATCGCGCGAGACGCAGTGGCAGCGCTAGACAGTCCTTTACAACCTCGATATAAGAACATGCTACAAGATGAACATGCTCGCCCCGCCTCTAGCATGCTTCCTGTTCCACAAATGCAGGCGCAGCTACGCTTTGTTGCGCGCTCGGGGATATCACGTGAGCCAATTGCGCTGTGTCAAGGGCCAAGAACAAGAATGGATTAAAAATTTCCAACTTTTCACGGTACTAAAACTCACTGTCCCGCTTTCCATCCAGCAGAGCCGTGCCCAGCATACAGGAGCCAATTCCAAGGTTTTTTCGTTTCACAAACCTCCCTCCCCCCACATCCTCCTGTTTGCGGTTGGTTCCGCCCACTCCCTGAACAGTCAAGCAGCGCGTGCGGGAGGAGAGCTGTCTCTGCAGCGCAGGGGGACAGGTGCAGAAGAATCCTGGTCGCAGTAGGGGCGAAATAGGTGTTCCACTGTTCGATTCTGGCACGACAACTGTTACTTATTTATGGACATTCTCTCTCTAGCCAACTGGCGTTAGAATACTTAGCCGCCTAGTAGCGAGACCCTGTAGGACCGTCACTTGCGCTGATTTACCTCAACATTCGTAGAAATAATTTTCGCCATTGATCATGGCAGCTGCTTCGTTACAATCCCCTTCGTTACCCGCGTTACTAAATCGCGTCGGCGAGCTACACGAAGAAGTGAGCGACGCGATCGAGCGCAGCCTCCAGTGCGACTTCTTCCTATCGACCTCCACTGCCGGTACCGTCGCCGCCGCCACCGCCGCCGCCGCGGATTGCGCTTCTGCGGAGTCTTCCCCCTCTGGCCCGCTGGTGGCTTCTCGGTATGGAAAAGACGCGTCGTCTCCCTGAAATTTACTCAGTTTAGCAATCCTTTTTAGTTGCAAAATTTATGTTATTCGGTCCAAATAAGGTTCTATCATTTGTTCACTTATTTCGTTTCATATGCATCGAGTTACACGTGCCAATAATTTTAGCTCCTACACCCGTCCTGTGATTATTCCGATATCTCATTCAATGCGCCCCCTTGCAGTTTCCGTCATTATTTCCAGCCATTCCCCCAGCAACCTTGTAGTTGCCATTGTCTCTTCACCAGTCTCCCTGTTCCTTACACATGTTTCTATTGCTTATCATTGTCTGCTCTACACACTGAGTTTTGAGACTTCTCAAAACTCTTCACCAGTCTTCCTGTTCCTTTCACATGTTTCTCTCGTTTCCTTATTCTTGTCTGCTCTACGCACTCTACTCTCCCATTTCTCTGAGCAGCCTGTCGCAACAGGACACGCCCACCAAAAACTCTAGTAGCGGGGATAAGTCTAGCGGGTCTGGGAGCAACACAAGCTCCCCCTCCTCTTCCTACCAACGTGCCTATGAAAAACATGTCGAGTCTGCCCGGAAGGCCGGGCAGGACGAAAAGATTCAATCCGGGCAGGGAAGCGCCGAGGCGCGGATGCTGATTGCGCTTCGCGACGCGCTGGAGATGCTGGAGTGGCACCTGGACCAGCTGCTACAGTGCGAGGAGACGCTTCAGGAGAAACTTCAGGTGAAACAACAAAAGACACAGCAGCAAATCAACCATCTGCGCGCGCCGCAGCGGCAGGGGCGCAGAGCGAGCGCGGGGAAATCCGGGATGCGGGGAGTCCACGCAGCCGCCCTCGCGGCCGCTGCGGCTGCCAGAGCGGCCGCGGCGGCAGGAGCCGCGGCGGGTTCCGCGGAGGGGGAGCGCGAGGCGGAGGCGGAGGCGGCGGCGCAGTGGGCGCAGATGGTGACGGAGTTAAAGATGGCGGCGCGCATAGTGGCGTCGCAGGGGCGGTGCCACCAGGGGCGCGAGGCGGAGGTGGTTGCGCGCATTCAGCAGTTGGCGGAAGACGTCGACTTGGAGCCCTTCCCCTTCCCTTCCGCCCTTTCCCCCCTCCCTTCCGCCCTTGCCCCCTTCCCTTCCGCCCCGCAGCATAAGTTATTTTCTTCCTCCGCCTTCTCCCCTCTATCCGCCGCCCCCATCCCGGCCTTGCTCCCTGCCCACGCGCCCTCCCCTTCCTCCTCCCCCTCCTCCCTCCTTCCCCAACCCCTCACTCCCGCGCAAGGCCCCGCCGCTGCGCCGTACTCCTCCGCGCATCCCTTCTCCCCCTCCCCCTCCCCTTTCTCCGCTTCCGCGCTTTCCCCTTCCCCCTCCCCCTTCTCCGCTTCCGCGCTTTCCCCTTCCCCCTCAAAGGAAGCTTCCATGCAACTTCCGACTTATTACCAACACCCCGAAGTCGCAGTGATGGGGGGAGGGGCGGTGGCGGAGGGGGAAGACTCGGACGGGGACAGCCCCACGAGCGGGCAGGTCGGGCAGAATGACTGGGCGGTGGGCAGGCCGCCGGTCAGGAGAAAAATATTCGGGCAAGAGTCTGAGAGCGAGGAAGAGAGTGAGGAAGAGAGTGAGGGTGAGAGCGAAGAAGGGAGTGAGGGGGAAGGTGAGGGGTATACGGGGAAGGAGGGTAAGGGAGAGGAGGCGGAGGGAGAAGGTGAGAGTGCGGGTGAGGGAGATGCTGTCACTGATCAAGCCAAGTTTGAAGCGCCTCAGGAACGTGCAACTGGTGCTCTGCGGGGTGGGGAGGGGGGCGAGGGTGGTGAGAAGTGTAACACATTGCCTCATGAAGATGCTGCTGCACCTGCTGACACTGTACTTTTGCCTTCCGCTGTTTCTGCTACTGACGATGCTGCTGCAGTTACTGCTGCTGTTACTGCTGCTGCTGTTGGTGGTGGTGATGTCGGTGGTGATGTGAGTGATGGAGCTGCAGCGACTGCTGACCTGACTGATGCTAACTTATCTGGCGCCACTGCTGCCAGTTCTGCTGTGTCCGCTGACCCTCATGCACCTGATTCTACTGATTCTCCTGACTCTGTTGATTCTGTTAGATCTAACGACTCTGCTGCTGCGAGTTCGCCTGGTGCTGCTGGCACAGCGTTAGAGAGCAGCGGTTCTGGTGCTGCTGCTAAGGCGGATGACTGTGCTGCTGTCACAACGACTGAGGCCACGACTGAGGCTACCTCCGCTGACTCTGTTTCTGCCACTGTTATCTCTGCCGTTGACAATTCTAACGCTCACGCTGCTCACACCGCTGACACTGCTGACACCGCTGACGTAACTGCTGCTGGTACTGTTGCTGACTCCCCCGCTGTTGTTGTATCTGCAGTTACTGCTGCTTCCGCAAATGACGTCCCTGCTGCACCTGCTCCCATCGACCCCCCCTGTGCTGCCACTGCTGACGCCTCTCTTCCTGCCGGTGCTGACGCCTCTCTTGCTGCCGCCGCTGCCACTGTCGCGGCTGACTCCTCTGCTGCCCACGCGTCTCCTGATTCCATCGCTGCAGCCGCAGCACCACTGGTCGAGCCTGCACATACCTCTCCAAGCCAGCTCCCCTCAGTTCAACCGCCCTCAGATGAGCCCTCCACGGGTCTCACCTCTTTGGCTCACCCCTCGTCAGCCGATTCCCTTCCCCAGTCCCCACCTGACTCTCTTCCCTCCCCTCCCGTCCCCCCGCTAGAAGCCTCTCCGATACACTCACGCCAACCTCTACCAGACCAAGCTGTGCCGAACCTGGCTGCCGAACCTGACTCGCAGCCTGACCAGCAGGCCGGACAGCAGGCCCGGAACCAGCCGAACCAGAGCTGGGCGCTCCAGCCGATCAACCAGGTTCGGGCGTTGACTCGTGTGGCGACTGGCGGTGCTAAAGCCATAGAGGTGGTGGTGGGGAGGGTGGCCCGCCTCTCCTCCTTCCTCCTCCACCCCATGACTCTCAGCCTGGGCGGTCTTGTCGGTGTCTCCCTTGGGATTGCCGCTGCTACGTCAGCAAGGAGGGAGAAGGGGGGTGGGCATTGGGGGGTGGTGAGGCGAGGGGTGTTGGGAGCACTGCCGAGGCCGGGTGCTGAGACTGCTGTTGCCTGGAGGGAGGAGGAGAGGGAGCGGGAGCGGGAAAGGGAGAGGGAGAGTGAGAGAGCGAGGGAGGAGGAGAAAGAGAAGGAAATTGGGGCGTGGGGATTGAGCGAGAGGCTGTGGGCAGCGGAGGGGGATTGGGGGGAGGGAGACGGGTCGTTTGGATTGAGGGGATTGGATGAGGAGGATGGTTATGGGAGCGTTGGGGAGGTGGAGGCGGAGGAAGAAGAAGAAGACTCAGACGAGGAAGAGGAAGGGAGGGAAGAGGAGGGTGGTGTGTGGGGCATCAGTGGTGGTTCAGGGGAGGGTGTAGGGAAGAGCGAGGGGGAAGGGGTGCAGGAGCGGGGCGGGGGTCTCCTTGCGTTCTTGCAGGGGGAAATGAGGCGACTCAAGGGGCAACCAGACGGGGCAGGTGGGGTGAGCAGAGGAGGAAGCGAGGAGAAGGCAGGGAGGAATGGGGCAGCGTGGGGGGCAGGGCAGGCGGGGGCATATGCTGCTGCAGTGCTGGAGCGGCTGAGGGAGGAGGTGCGCGTGAGAGAAGAGGAACTGGCGAGAGTGAATGCGAGAGGAGAGGAGCTTGAGCGAGTGAGGATGCGAGAGCTGCAGCTGCTGCAGGGGCAGTGGGAAGAGGTAGGGGTGGTGGATGCTGGGGAGGGAGGGGAGGCAGGAGGGGAGGAGAGAGGGGAGGAGATAGGGGAGGAGGGAGGGGAGGGGAAAAGGGAGGAGAGAGAGGACACGGGGGAAGAGAGAGAAGAGGGGAAGGGGGAGAGGGCAGGAGGGGGGTTTGGAGTGCATGTGGATGATCCGCTGCTGGCTGCTGTTCTCAGAGACCTCTCCGTGCGCCCGGTTGACTCTGCCCATGCTCATGTTGCTGCTGCTGCTGCTGCTGCTGCTGCTGGTGATGATGATGTGGGGATCACTCCGCTGCCGCGGTTGAACATCAGCAAGCCCAAGGGAGAGTGGGATGACCAGAAAGAGCAGCAGCGGCGGAAGAAGCCTCAAGGTGGCTTTGAGCGAGAGTGGGATGGAGTGAGCAGCCTTAGCAAGCCAGGCTCAAATGCATGTGTTTCTGCTGCCGGTGACGCCGGTGTTGCTGGTGGTGGGGGTGACTTTCGGGATTGTGGAAGCTTCTTGGAAGCAGCACAGGGCTGGCTAGAGAAGGTCCAGGAGGGGAGGTGCCAGATTGACAGCCAGATGTTAAAAGCGGGCGGCACACTGCACAAGGCAGGTACGGCATTACTTGATGCGCCTCGGAACACCATCCATGCCGCAGGCCAGGCGCTGCCGAACGTGATTCCGAGCCTGCTGCCTTGCGTTGCTCGCAAGTACGAGAGGCTGAAGAGGCGCGGATGGGTGGGGGTGCTGCGAGGAGGGGGAGCCGGCAACGAGGGCAGGAATGGGGAGCGGAGCGGGCGCAAGGATGAAAGGGATGATGGTCCACAGAAGGCACGACATGGGGTAAATGAGACTCCTGGCTTGGTGATGGTCCCAGGTGTTCCAGTTGGGGGGTCAGGGCATGGAGGGGATGGGTTCTGGACAGATCTGGCGGAGAAGGCGCGGCAGTTGAGCATTGGACGGAAGAGGGGGAGGGAGTGAGCGGGTAAGGGAGTGAGAGGTGTTGATGCTTGTCCCTTTTGCTTGATGAGGGCCCTTTTCCCTGTCTATGAGCATGGGCTGTGTGAAGTGTGGCTGCTTGCAGATTTTCTTCTTTCTTTTTTCCCCTTATTCTTTGGTTTGTGCATGTTTCTCCTACTGTGATCCCCCACACTCCCCTTTCCCATCCTTCACCCCTGTTGGGCTGAGAAAGATCTTTAGGATCTTCTAGTTACCTTATCAACCCCAGATCTCTCTGCATATGGGTTTGCCAGTTTTCTAATTTGTGGTGTGGAGTGGAGCAATGCGCCGAGTGAATGCATATTTGCCCATCGCAGGTGCTCAACCTTGTGTTTGTAATTGACATGGTCTATCACCTGTGAATTTGTTCTTTTACGGTAGTCGTTCCTTAAAGCTGCGGTCTACATACTAAGTGGTGTTTTTTGGGTGTATTTTTTATGCCAACCCTTTCGTGCGGCCTGATTGGAGAACGAAGTCAGCATGTTTCAGAAACACCGCAGCAGACGAACTCAGACAGGAAACGCGAATCCAGCCCAATTTCGAGCTGACGGGTGGTTTGGAGGAGGGTCTGCGGAAGGGAGGGAAACAACCTGGGGAGTTCGGTTTCGTGCAGAAAGAACCCCAACCCCCTCTCTCCACCCCTCTCAACCGTTAACTTTGCAGGAAAGGGGGCCGAGTCCAAAAACTGGTCACCCTGCTTTCAAGTGATAATCTCAGCCCTCCCGCTCGGAGTATGTAGGCCGCAGCTTTACAGCTTTAACCTGGAAGCAAATCATTTGATTTGAAAAAACAAAGGCTTCAACATGGAACGGAGATAAACATCCATAAAATTTTACTGGAAATCTGAAACACCGGGTGAACCTAATAAACTGCCTTGTTCTACTGTATTGCCATTCCTTTTGCAGGTTGTGTGTACTCTTTTATTACAATGAAAGCACGCGGTTACCGAGCATATCACATGAAGTGTACTAGTTCCCTTTGAGGCGTTATACAAGCTAATATAAGATTTGCTGTCTAGATCTTCGAAGGATTTGGAACCGATTTTCGGATGAAATACCGCACAAGACAAGGCACGACAGTACACAATCGCGTTCAACAGTCCCCTGGTCCTTCAATGGAGGATTTTGTTGATAAAAACGAACTCCACAAATTCACGTGCGCAAGCACATGCATTTTGAAACGCCTCACCTACACTCGCAATGATCTCGAACGAGAGACCAGTTTCGCCAAGGGTCGCCCACCATCCGACTGCAGTACTTTCGCGAAAAGTCTGCAGCTTCGCTGGCGATCGCCATTTTTCTGCTCCGTACAGCGGACAAGGACAAGTGAGTGAGCATTTCTTGCGGTGACACCCCACCCCAGTCCGTGGGTTTGAAGAAAGTCGGTCAGAACGCGTACAACCTCACCTCAGTATCCCCTGCTGCGGAACTCACAACAACGCGCTTTTGCTTGCTGTGTGCTTTAAAAATCGCGTTATTCAGTCAGAAGGATCGAAGAAAGGCTCATATAGACTGGGTCTGTGTGGTGGGGTTTTGTGGGGGAGGAAGTGAGCTTCCACTCTGGTTGTGCTTTGATGTTTCGAAATTTGCGGTGGCGCGGCTCCAGTTACCAGCCCATCAAACCAAGACGCGTTTTCCCAAAAAGAAGTATGCAAGGAGACGTGGTTGGGAAATACGGCACGGATAATTGTGACTGAGGGACCACTTGTTTCTACGAATTCGTTCCCACCAGATCTCATCAGGATCCCCTTCAAACAAACCCTAGAATGCGTCCATGTCCTAGAACCATACCCTAACTTCAAATAGAAACTGGGTGTGGTACTGTACATGTATCTTCCTCCTGGGACCCACCCAGAACCTTGATTATAGGTGCTGCCTAGGCTCTCACTCACGGACTTCTGGTGTAGCTTCCTTTTGGATCTTCCAGAACAGCTTCCCGCACCGCAGCTCATGGTTTCCAGCTCACTGCTTGGCCTACAAGCTTCCAGCTCAATTATCCAGCTCGAACCAGCTCGTTGCATTGCATCATACAAGGCGAGCCGTTGACCGTTGCCAGCGCACGTAGAAACTAGATCCGGATCTCATTCTGTCGGTGCAGCATCCAGCTATCCGTATCGTCGGGATGTCAGACTGTAGTACCTGTAATGCGACTTGCCTTGCTAGGTAGTACACTACAGACTGGATGCGACGAGATGGGTGGGAGAGTGGGGGCCACGACATCATGTGATCGTACGCCTTGTGTGGCTCCCACGCGATGGCGGTTGACTGCCGTCAAAAACAACCACTGTCCGTCACAGCACAGCCCGATGGCACTTGCTCTGCCTGTGTGAGCCGCCGGAAGTGCTACACGATGGCCGGATGGCGCCGCGATAACAGCAACGCGCTGTGTTACGACCAAGTCGTGCTGTCCGCCTCTCGTAACGATTTGATTCGGCCCCCGGACTCTCACTTTCCATGCATACGCCTTTCCCGCGCTCCTCCTCACTCTCAGCTCCCACTCACTCTCTCTCTCCTCCAGCTCATGTCGGCGCCGCGAGTGGGCTGTTTTTTCGCGCGATCGTTCCGAATCAGATCAGTCGAGCTCTAGTAGTAACGCTCCTCTGATTACTATTTCTCAAGCGAAGGGTTTCTTTCTTCACCAGATCCACATTTCAAAGGGGCCTCCATCGTCAACGAATCCTCCTCCAAATCCTCCTCCATTGTTAACGAATCCCCAGCTATCTCCCTCATCATTCAAGAAGCTACTTGTCTGAATCGATAGTTTGCAATCACGTCTGCTGACTTTTTCAAGTCTTAACTCTTGACGTGTCGCGTTACATTGTCGCCCGCCCGCGGCCCACCAATCCAACGCCATCCAACACTCGTCACAGCCCATCATCCGCGGCCCGCCGGACACGGCTGAGTCTTAACTTAGACGTCTCAAAACGCCATATTAACGCCATCCAGAAGCTCCGACTCCGAGTCTTCACAAACCCCTCCGCAGAAGTAGAAAATAGGCTCCCACAACCACGACAGCTTACCACAAGCTATCACCACTGATACACGTGGTGACCACGTGTCTGGCCCAACTTCTCGCCGCTCACTCCAACTCTGCTACGAGCAACCCCCGGCTGAGCTCACAGCTTTGTGAGCCGCCTGAAGCCGTTTGTTACTGCAAAACAAGTTGTACTAGCCTCCTACCCGCCAGCTATCCCAACCTATGATCATGGCGAGTCACAGCACTTCTACTACCCTGCCGACTAACAGCAGCGCGACCATCGCCGCACCGGACGGAGGGACGTCAGAGTCCCTCGCCGCTGCTCTCTTCTCATTGGACGACCTCCCTTCGCCGCTCGCTTCGCTGCATGCCACTCTCCCGCCGCCGCCGGCTGCGCCGGTTTCTCAGAGTCCTCTCCCCGACTCGGAGCATAAAGGCCGCTTCGGCTGGTCCCCAATTGGCCCCCGCGGCTTTCCCGAGGAGGGATTTGCGCTACACGCCGAACCTCGCTCCGAACCGCTAAACGAGCCTCTTGCCAAGCCTCAGATGACCGCTGTGGGCGGCGAGGAGGTGGCTGGTGAAGCGGCCGCGGAAGTTGGGTTGGGAGTGCTGACAGGGCTGACAGGGCCTGCTTCTGAAGCTGCTGCTGCTGCTGCTATGATGCGAGGAGCGGCGGGCGGGGAGGTGCAGCTAGAGCGCATGTTGGTTGGCCTTTCTAAGCTCGCATGCTCGCTGCGACAGCAGGAAGCAGCGCAGCAGCAGGCGGCGTGGCAGCAGCAAGCAGAGGAGCAGCAAGAAGCGCTGCAGCACTGGAACGGTGGAAACGCGGTGGGCAGCAGCAGCAGCAGCAGCGGCCTACCTGAGGATGATGGAAGCTATGGGAACCAGAACCAGAACCAGAACCAGAACCAGAACCCGAGTCATACCAACCAGGAGCAAGAGAATGAGCACTTCACACTGATGAACACCGCGGCCGTTATTCCCGTCCCCAACGAGCGAGTCCCGGCGCCTGCAGCTCGCACACCGCCGCTGCAAGTGGCTGCAGCAGCAGCCAAGGCAAGGAGAGAGGAGGTGTCTCTTGCGGCGACTCAGAAGTCAGTAGCAGTAGCAGCTGCAGTCGCAGCAGCAGCTGTAGCAGCAGCAGCCGCAGAGGCAAGGAGGGAGGAGGCGAGGAGAGAGCAGGCGGTGCTGTCAAGCCGTGTGATGGCGACTCTACAGATGGGAGCAGGCAGCGAGGCCGAGAGGCGGCAGCTGTTAGCTCTCCTGCTGGCGCTGAAGAAGGTGGAGGAGCAGCAGTCGCAGGAAGCGCAGCAGCAGACGCAGCAGAAGCTGAGGCAGAACGCACGGAAGCGGCAGAGGCGGCAGAGGGCGATGGGAGGTCAAGGATTGTCAGGAAACCCTCAGTCGCCGCAAGTGCAGCAGCAGGAGCAGCAGCAGCCTGAGCAGGAGGAGCAGGAAGGAAGGAATGAGGAGCACCGGTTCTTAGCTAGCTCGCCTTTTCTCGCGGGAGCAAGTCCTGACCTCCACGACGTAGGTGTAATGGGACGCATGGACGGGCGGGGAGGGGAGAGGAGCGGCAGCGGTGGCAGCAGTGGTGGTGGCAGCGGTATCGCCAGTGGTATTTGCAACGGTGTTCGGACTGACCCGGATTTTTCACTGCGTGGTGTTGGGAATGACGTCTATTTTTCACTGCGTGGTGTTGACAAGAGCCTCACCAGTGCTCTGAGTAATGAGATTTGTCTTAACGCAATGCGTGGCATCAACAGTGGCGTTTTCAGCGGTGGAGCTGCTGTGAACGTTGGGGCAACGAACGCTGGCAACGTTGGGAGGAAGAGAAGCCCTGACGCCCTGGATGACGGCGCTACAGCCGCTCCCCAGTGGCAACACGGCATGCAGACCCCCGCCGGCTGCTACAGCCGCAGCGTGCTTGACCATGCGGACCAGAGTGGTGTGCTGGATGGCATGCTCTTAAAGGATGCAGACTCAGCGCCAGTGGGGGCAGCGGCAGTGGGGGCAGCACCGGCACACCCTACTTTGTCTCCTCTTCACGGCAGCATGGCGGTGGCAGCAGGGCAGCACATGCACCTCCTGCTCCAGCAGCAGCGGCTGCAGCAGCAACAGCCACTGCAGCAGCAGCAGCAGCAGCAGCAGAGGTGTGAGCAAGCGTCACAGCCTCTGTCACCGGAGGCCAGAAATCAGCGCTCTCGAGGCAGCGCAGGCTCGGCGGGCACAGGCACGGCCGGTGAAGGCTCGGCGCGCTCAGGCTCGGCAGGCACCGGCATGGGTGGTGCAGACTCGGCTGGCGGTCCGGCAACCAGCAGCAGTGGGCAAGAGGGTGGGGAAGAAGGCACAGAAGTTATGCGAGAGGGCATGCGAGATGGCATGCGAGGCATGGAGGAAATGGATGGCATGGGTCAGTGGCAGTCTGATGAAGACTTAGGGGAAGCGGTACCTGCAAGACGAATGGGGCAACAGGCCGAGTGGGGCTCAGATGCCCTGGATAATCCCAAGGGCCGAGAGCGCGGCACCATGCAAGACGAGTGTGGCACGGACGACGAGTGGTTGCCTCGGTGCCAGGGCGTAAGGACAGGCTCAGTGCCGAACAAGAGGATCAAGAGCAGGAGCATGGCGGAGCGGCGGAGGAGGGAGAGGATCAGCGAGGGGCTGCAGAGGCTGAGGGCGAAGGTGCGGGGGCGAGGGGACACATGCGCGATGCTGGATAGAGCAGTGGGGTATGTAGATGCATTGGAGCGACGGGTGGTGGAGTTAGAGAGGGTTGTGATGGCAGCTGCTGGATCTGGGAGAAACGTTTTCCCCGGCAATGCATTTGCCGGTGGTTTTGCTGGTCGTGGTTTTGCCGGTAACGTTTTTGCTAATAATGCCACGGCGCTGACGACGATACCGGCTTCGATGACATCGGTCCCGACTGGCCTTGGGGGTGACGCGGTTGCCAGCTGGCCTTGGGAGTGAGGCACGCCTGGACAGGGATTTGGCCTGTCTTGCTGGAGCATTAAAACATTTTTCACATTCTCCTGATCTTTTAACGTAAAAGTCTATCTTATCCTTCTTTTTTGATTGGCTATGTCTTTTCTTGGTGTATGACATGAGATGGTGAATTGAGCTTAAGCCAGTTCTGTTTGTGTCGTTATATACATAAATCCAGCCCAGAAAAAGGAATCGTGCTCGTTACAGTGCCACTGGCAATACATATGTACAACCATGACTGAGGTTCAGGTCCTCGCGTAGGTTTTGAGATTCCTTCCTGTCAGAATGTTATATTTCTCTAGTGTGCAGTGGGGTACTCTATAGTGAGTACAGCCTTGTTAGGGTTTGCTACATGTATCCCATTGTTTGCTAGTGAAACCTTCTTCTTATGTTCTAATTTTCTAGCTACTGTTCTGACATGCTATCAGAGTGAGATCGCTCCTGGTCTGTGGGCCCACCTTCTTCCACTGCTGTACTACGTATCGAGCGCCTCGGGCGCGCGACGTCTTCTGCCTGCCGCGCGCCCTGCGCACGTGGCGTTTTTTCTTCCCGCTGCCCGCCACGCGCTCGGGGCGTGTGGCAGGTTCCTGCCCGCCGCGCTGTCCCCTCCCGTAGCCCGACGCGACGCCTCGGGGGCCCGCGCGCTGTCCCCTCCCGTCGCCCGCCGCGGCGTCCCGGAGGCCCGCGCGCCGCCTCCCCTCCCGTCGCCCATCGAAGCGTCCCGGGGGCCCGCGCGCCACCTTGCTTGTCGCCCACCGCGGTGCCCTGGGGGCCCGCGCGTCGCCCCCTCCCCCCCTCCCGTCGCTCGTCGCGGCGCCCTACGGGCCTGCTCGCCGCCCTGCCCGTCGCCCGTCGCAGCGCCCCAGGGACCCGCGCGCCGCCTGCGTTTGGGGTATGGGGTGGCGGGTATGGGGGTGGCGGGTGTGTGCGCCCTCCCCTGCTCCTCCTCCTCCGTCTCCCACTGCTGCAGCTGCCGCTGAGGGGGGTGGGTGTGTGGGAGCCGAGGGAGTGGCGCTAAGGGGGTGTCGTGAGAGTGGAGCTAGGGGTGCAGCAGGGGGTGTGTGAAAGGGGTCTGCGATAGTGGGGGAGGTTGAGCGGAGGTAGCCGTTGTGTCGCCAGCAACGCCAGTAGTCCGGAGCCGGCGAGCTCCGTGTCAAAGTTTAGAAGAGAGAAGAGGATTGCACTAGCAAGAATGGGGATACAAATAGCAAACCCTAGAAGGGTTGTACTCGCTATAGAGCACCCCACTACAGGCTAGAGCATAAAATAACATTCTGACACACCCCCATAGCCAAAGTGGGGTGTAATCAGCAGAGCAAGCAAAACAGAACAAGCTCAGGGTGGATCACAATGTCACCACACAGTCTGAGCACAAGTTCAAGCAGCAGTAGTATAAAGTTCACTGTTATAAGCAAAGCTAGAGGTAGTCACAACGGGCAAGTGAGGCGGAGGAGAGAGAGACTGAGAGGAAAGGAGATAGGAGGCGACGGATGAAGATGCAGACACACGGGCAACAGGAGGCAGACTAGCACAGCGGCTACCGGACGAAGCCCCTGGACTACAGGGGTAACTGGCCCCGCGGCTAAAGTAGCGGCAGACGAGCAACGGACCCATGGGCGGCTGGCACAGCTGGCTACGACTGGGCTACCGGACGAAGTCCCCGGACTACAGGTGCTGCTAGCGACACAACGGCAACCTCCATGCAGCTTCCCAAATCTGTCCTACTCCCCCTGACACACACCCACTGCTACACCACTAGCTCTCCTCCCCCTTCACCCCCCTTAAACCCTAAACCCCAGTCTCCCACACATCCACCCCCCTCAGCGACAGCTGCAGCAGTGGGAGACGAAGGAGGAGGAGGAGCAAAGGGAGGAATGAAGAAGTGCCACCCCCATACTCGCCACCCCCTACTCGCCACTCCCCAAACCCTAACACAGGCAGGGCGGGATGGCGGGTAGGGAGGTTACGGGGGAGGGGGGGGGGGGGGGGGGGGGGGGGGGGGAACCGACGCGCGGCCTTCCAGGGCGCCAAGACAGGCAGCAGAAGGGGCGGCGCTCACCCCCTTCCCCCAGGTAGCGGCCCAAGAGGGAGCCGCGACGGGCGACGGGAAAAGGGGGGGGGGGCCGCAGGCAGGGCCGATGCGGGCGGGGACGCGGCCGATGCGCGCGGCGACGGGGCGGCCGATGCGGGCGGGGACAGGGTCGCTGCGGGCGGCGACGGGGCCGCTGCAGGCGGCGACGGGGCCGCTGCGCGCGGCGACGGGCCCGCTGCGGGCGGCGACAGGGCCGCTGCGCGCGGCGACGGGACCGACCCGCGGGTCCCCGTCGCCCGTCGCAGCGCCTCCCGAGGCTGACGCGCCGAGCGACGAGGCAGAAGCCCGCCGCGCGCCTCGGGGCGCACAGCGGGCAGAGAACCACCGCGCGCCTCGGGGCGCACGGCGGGCAGAAAACCGCCGCGCGCCTCGGGGCTCACGGCGGGAAGAAAAATGCCGCACGCCACGGGGCGTGCGGCTCAGAGGGTAGTTGCAGTAGTAGCAGCGGAAGCGAGAAGGTGGTAAGCCCACCCACAGGATCGATCCAAGGGGATCGACCTGCTCTGATAGCATGTAAAAATTTAGAAGAGAGAAGAGGATTGCACTAGCAAGAATGGGGATACAAATAGCAAACCCTAGAAGGGTTGTACTCGCTATAGAGCACCCCACTACAGGCTAGAGCATAAAGTAACATTCTGACACTCCGGTAGCCCAACGAGCCTGCTGCGCCAGTCACCCGTGGGTCCGTTGTTCCTGCTGCTCGTCTTAGCCGCGGAGCCAGTTACTCCTGTAGTCCAGGGCCCTTGCTCCGGTAGCCACCGTGTGCGCGCTCCTGTTGCCCGTGTGTCTGCGGCTTCACCCGTCGCCTCCTATCTCCACTCCTCGCACAATCCCCCCTCCTCCTCACTTGCCCTCTGTGACTGCCTCTAGCTTTGCTTGTGCTTGTGAGCTTGCTCTATGACAGCTTGTTGTGCTGATTATACCCCACTTTGACTATGGGGGTATGTCAGTATATTATATTTCTCTAGTCTGCAGTGGAGTACTCTACAGGGCTCTGATTAGGATTTTGGGTGCTCTTCCATGTAAGGCCACTGTCTCTCAACTACTTTTTCTGTCAGTGTGTGCCATAGAATGCACTTTTTCTGGTAAGGGTTGGGGGCTAGTTAACTTTTCCTTATCAGTATGATGGTAAGAATCAGTTTTTCTCTTCTAAAACTACAAGGTACTAAACAACATTCCTAGGATGTTATATTGTAGCTACATACGTAACCTAACCCTACAACTACCTATGCATGCCTACATAATTTCATTAACAAAATCTCCAGCTGGGCGGCGCTTCTTGTGCTAGGTTTTGGGGCATCCTGAGGCCTCAGGGCAACTTTCCAGAATCTGAAAAAATGCCCTGATTTGTCAGGGCAACTTTTCGGAGGCTTCCTGTAATTTCATGGCTTCTACAAAAAAATATCCTGGCCTGTCAGGGCAAAAATATAAGCGTTCAGGGTTCATAATAGTTGGTCGGCAAGTCAGGTTGAAGCTACAGATATGCCTGCACGGAGGGTATTCGATCCGAAGACGTCATCTCTCGGAAGTATCTTTCTACTGCCTAGGCCATTTCTGGATGTTTAGATGGTTGATTCAGCGGTTAGCGACAATTTTGCCACGGGACTCCCCCCTCAACCCCCCCCCCCCCCCCCCCCCCCCTCCCCCCACCAAAAAATGCGTCAGGGCAGGCCTCGGCATTCATCCTGACGCTACAAGGAAGAACACTACAGCCATTCTGAATGTTCAGGGTATTTCATATAAAAACATCCTGAGGCCTCAGGGTTAAAATTTACACTATTCTGAAATGACAGGGTAAATTTAAAACTACATCCTGAATTCAGGGTAATCAGGATGTTTTGCCCTGATAACGTGGGGCCTGTATGAAAGAGTGCCGCAACGTTCATCCAGTTCACATCTGCAGATAGAAGAAGTGCACGCGTCATCAAATCTCCCAATCGTGCATCTGATAAACTGGTACGCGTACTGCTCTTGATGCGGTTTTGTCGGTTGAAACCGCACTCGCACTCAACAGTGCTCAACGGGAGCACTGCCACCGCCTGCCACAAACGGACCATGTTCGGGTATGCGCCGCCATAATCAGTTGACTGCAGCATCAGGGTCAGCGATTTGTAGAAGTTCAACGCCCCGTGGTTGTTTTCCATGGTGTGCAGGAACAGTACCAGCTCCCTCTCGCACTCCTTGAACTGCACACCTGTTGGGGGGTGCGAACACAGAAATGAATCTGTAAATGAATGCGACAAATGCTGAAAGCACAATGGACACACACAACACAAAATCATGCAACTGTACCTAGAAGCGCGTGGCGAAACATTTTGTCGAGCTGGCCCAGCCACTCTCGACACTTGCGCATGCGCCGACTCTTGTCATCCGGATACATGGTTGGACGGAAGATCTTAGCGCCGTTCAAATGTTCCAGATCCTCGGCGTCCCTTCACCTCACATGCGTAGTCCTGGCAGAGCTTCTTGCACGAGTAGTAGTCGTGGCCGGTTTTCTGACCTTTGATAGGGCGCTCGTGCAGCACGAACACGTGTTCAATCGGATCACCATTCAGGTCCACACCCTGCACCTTTACCTCCCGATGCTGCGGATCTGTGTGCTTCTTCAGGAACTTGTTCAGCAGGGGGGATTGTCCGTTGCCAATTGAATCCTCGCAGTCTAGGTAACGGACTTCGATTGTACGACACGCAAGGGAAACTTCACTTGCGACGACTGTAATGTCCACCTGCCAGGTTTAGAGACACAAGACAATGCTAGTCATTGGGTTTTTTAGTGACTTAACAGATACCGCCTACAAAATGAAAACCTTACATGAAGCTTCTGGAATTTGGCGTTCAACTCGTTCAGGATCGCCAGCAAATCTGCAAGGAAGTAGACGAGAAAGTGAAATTT